ACCGTGGGCTGTTCTGATCATGTTAATTTGGCTGTGATCGTCAATAATTAATCGAGAATTGATTAATTCATTTATGGGTAGGACACTATATTTGTTGTACACCCAAGTTCTTTTCAAGGTTTGATACAATTGTAGCAAATAAAACACAGAATAGTTAAAGGGATTTATTTTCTTCAATAATGGCATAGTACCCAGTTCATAAATCATGCTGCAGACAGTTCGTCTACCCAGTGGCGCGGTCCCTCTAAAAGTGTAGGTACCCCCTATTACATACTAAATACCATATGTTTGTCTCGAGGGACCTCTATCTCACCACTCGTTCCTCAGACAACAGGGCTCCTAATAAACTGATACGTCAGAGTATACTGGAGATTGAGATCGCAGCGGCGCCACATCAGACATTTTGACAGGATAACGGGTGGCCTATTTTGCCCCTCGCCGTAGCTCAGGTATCTTTTTCTTGAGGGCATCTTTTATCAACTGCTACTTTTTTGTTCATATATAGTCCCGCATGTCTGATGAAGTGTCGTACAATCAAAAACCCAGGATGGTATAACATATCCACTATCAGTGCTAAACTTGTATTGTCTCACAGAATTGTCAAACTCAGTGTCTTTCCATCAGTTTTAACAGGGTTGCTGGTTCAGAGTAGGAGTGCTACACGGAAGTAGAGCTTCGAAGGGGGAACTTCCAGAAAGACACTGCGGTCGAAATTCTATCACAATGACCAAGCTTGAAATGGGGAGTGATAAAACCAGGAGTGGCACGATAGTGTACCGTCAATAATTCGAACTTTCTGGCACCAGGGTATTTTATTCTTCGCCTGGATTTTTCAAGGTTGCTCAGACACCTTTTTCTCTTTTGTTTAGAATAGCTGCTACTTTTTTACCAGTCTGCTCGGACATTGACGGGACAAATCATACTCTCCTTTCGTATCAGAACCCAGGTGCGTTCACAGACTTACCAAAAAACATATTCTCTTATAACGAATATTTTCTCTTTAGTAAGTGTTGGAAGTTACCTTGTCTGATGTCCACCAATATTCGTTATAGTTGTGGCAGCTCTGTTGTTAGGGAGCAAGGTATGGGTTCGATTATCAATAGGGGTCCTATTTATATTGTCAGGCGCCACCCAATTTATTTTAGCAAAAATTGAGAAAAGAAAACTGTTGGAAATAAAAGATCTCAGTTGGACTACACTTATTTAATAAACCCATCAGTAGCAATTTATATAAAGGAGGAGAAGTACTAAGACACAACTGATTTATATAAAAGAAGATAAATACTTGGACACCACCAAATATTGTTTCAGTTATTTTCTAATTGAACTTTTTTAGCAGTTGTGAAAGTTTATATACTTGTCTTTACACCAGGGTGCCTAAAACACTATCATTTATCAAAGTTACCCCCCTTATATTGGCCAATATATGAGTTCACAAACTGGTGTGAGACTTACTAGTTATATTAAACTCTATTTTATGTATTAATTAATAAATGTCATAATTAAATTTAGGAAAATTAAATATCTATGATTTTGAGTGGTAAAATCCATCTATATGGGATTCATGAGAATATCTCCCCTTTGATCATGAGAAACTGGATGGGTCTAACCTTGTGGTCCCAGAAGGAATTATTTCAGGCAACAGAGCCTGGAGCCTAAGCAGCCACACAGCAAGCTGCAGATATGGAGGCAGCAGAGAGTCTCAGGAGTCTCATGGGGCCGGTGCCTGCATGGGACAATGAGGGCCGTGTTGCCACGTGTCTCGGCGGTCCTTGATGAACAATGGGGCCTTCGGCGTTCCTGGGCAGCTGATGAGCGAAACAGGGCTCCAAAGCTAGGGCAGGCAGCTTGACAGGCAGGAACTTACAGGAATCAAAGACAGAGGCAGTTTCAGGTCGTCGAAAAAATCCGGCGTGGTCCAGTCGTGAGTTAACCTCACCCAAAAAGGCCAGCAAATCTTCCTGTAGGAATAGCATATGTTTCGGGTGCTGCTCACACCGGAGGAAGAAATAAAAATCGTCAACCATCTTCATGGAGTCTCAGAGCTCGTCGAACAGACAGAATTTCGACAAGGAAAAAGGAAATTCGTCACTAAATGAGCAGATCATTTTGAAAACCGTTTAGAAAAAACATTCGAAATGTAAATTAGTTTCTGCGCACCTGCAGAACCAACTTAATAATAATAATTATCATATTGCCAACTGCCACATAAAACAGCAGAAAAACCCACGAGCAGCAGACGACAGTAACGTACGCATCATCGTATAATCGCAGCTTCGCCTACCCACAGACCAGATAGTGGTGAAGTGAAGGTGACCTGACGTCATAGCGAAATTAACTGGGAGGATCCCGGCTACACTGCATCTATCCAGGCACTACACTCGATGTCCTCTAACTGAACTGGAATGCTCTTGACCCTTGACGTATAACGAATGACAAATTATGATCATGACATATGACAAATAGGACATTATGCTAATGACCTATTATTACCTTTTCCTATAAATGTAAATATTGAATAAAAATAAGAGAATTGAGAATTCCACAAACGACTGTTGAAAAATATCTGCAGTACCAGAACCACAAAATTAGATAACCCATTTAAGGCATAATTGTAAAAGGTGAGTATGAACAATACAAATAGAAATTAATAGTGGATGTCCAATATCTTAGTCAGTTTGGAAATAATACATTTTAATTCTGTTTCAGGAACCTAAACTGGATGTCAAACGGAAGAACTCGTCAGTCCAGCCGTTTATATCAGTGGAGTCCCTGGTCAAGATTAGGTACAGAGTGGTCTGCTAAAGAACACCCAATGCTATGTAATTATTTTGGAATAAAGTAATCACTTAAATCATATATTTGTTGTTTAAAGACTTTCGACGTATACTGAACGATGGTAGGGTAGGTATTGCTACTAACAATGGAAATGGCCAATTTTCATGTTATACTCTTATTATGAGAAAGTTCCTCGATACCACATATAGTAAGCGGTCAGGAAAAGAATGAATAGGAACTCCGCCACTGGTGGTTAAATATACATTTAGGAACGATATACTCTTTGACATTCTTTCTACCTACAGCACTAAAGGGCTTGTTATCGATACCTCTGCAGAGCAAACCGATTATATAGAAAAAAAAGAATGACAAGTTTCAGACCAAATTCAAATAATAGGACATCATCAAGCTAATAACAATAACAATGGGAGAAATATATATTGTTTCGTGATATGAAGAAGAAACATAATTTTCGATGAAATTGATCACAAATATGAATATGATACAGTGTACTAACATTAAGAATGATACTTATTTACCTATTCTCAAAGAGCAATACTATGTCAAATATATATATATATATATATATAATAATATAATATATAATAAAAAAACTGACATCAACTATCTAAGTGAAATTTATGCCTATTTATTGACATTAGACATCAACCCCTTCAGGGTTAATTCCATTGATAATTCTGAACTATAACTTCCATTTCATCAATTTCAAAATTGCCACAATTTTTACAGTTGGTACAATAGTTGGTACTACTGATAGTACTTGTCTTGTCAATACTGTCAACATCCTAACCTAATTTCAATTGTCATTCATTCATTAATTTTTTCATATCCGGCCACATGGTGTCCATGACTAGCTAGCTCAAGTTCAAGTTCAAGTTCAAGTTTTTAACATGTGTGATTGTAACTTTACTACTGTTTTATTATAATTGTTTAATTGTTTTATAACTGTACAAACAACTTCGTTCCTGGATGATGTATCACAATTCATTTTTGAAAATTATTGTTAACATCATAGTAATCATCCTCACGTAGATATAAGTACAATTTAATTTTGACTTTTATATTATCACTGACAATAATTATTGTAGTATGCCCTGATGATGGAATCAATTAAATTCCGAAAGCTTGGATAATCTTCAAAGAGTTCTCTTTTACTTGCTGCAAAACCTCACTATTTACTAGTCGATATACATATATATATATATATATAATGTCAATCGAGAAATATTACAGAGTTGCAATCAGTAAGTCAATAAGACCATGATCAAAATGGACGATAATAATATAAGTATATGAAAAACGACGAGAGAAATATACCCCTGTTTGTTATTGGCAAATTGATAAGTTTAACTCAACCCTTTGTGCATAATTAGGACATAAACATAGTTGAGGAGCACTTCCACTGGCAAATTCGGTACTTGGAGAGATATACATATGAAGGACATTTCACTTTTTCTATAAATCACCTACATTTTTTCGATATTTACCGTTTCTATTTACCGTTTCCCCTTCAATGTTCAGGTTACTCCCCTCGTGATGATGGTCATTATTCGTTAGGCAATGTTCTATAGTGGGTGCCGGATGATTTCCTTCATTATTAGATCCCCATCATATATAAGAAACAAACAATACCGAATTCATCATTGGAAATTCCCCTAAATAGGAAGACAACAGTTAGATGATTTAATTTACAATAAGATGCTTACCTGTCATCACATTCACATGTACATCTCCCCCAGACCCCACAACCTCTTCGCTTTCTTTATTACTGGCCTTGTTTTTAGGACGTGCCATTATACGTAGATTTGAGGTAACTCACAAGGAATTGAAATGAATTTGACTGACTTGGATATCTGAGCTCGTACAAAATATTATAGAATTAATGATTTGAGCAATAACGTAAAACAGTTCATAGGCAGGTCCACTCGTAGCTTACGCTGGTTGCCCGCTACCTATCGCGAATTTTGTTAGTCGAGGAATCGAGTATGAAACTTTCCTCAGGTAGGTCCACCCTCAACACACGCTGGTTGCCCACTACAAGGGCGGTCATATATCTTGATTCTGGGGGGGGGCATTTTGTACAATTACATATCAGTCATTAATTCCAATTCAATCAGAAAACACAGAATGGAATATTATTTTTATATTACATATTTAAAATAAAAATCATTCGAATGAAATAATTAACAGAAACTAATATTTTACATGACGAACTCCATGTTTCGTCTCACCCCACTATTAGCGAAACGTTCTATAACATTAGATTCGTTGATGACAATGTCCTTATGGACATGCATTAGTGCAAGGCCACTCAAACGATCTTCACCCATATTGGCCCTCAGCCAACTCTTAAGTCTTCTCAGTCCTGAAAAACTGCTCTCTGCAGATGCAACACTCACTGGAAGAGTACACAGTATTTTCAAAATGTCATGAATGATTGGATACATCATTTTATCACATTGATTGAGAGCATTCAGTCCATCGCTGGGAATTTCCAATTCTTTGCTGTGTATCCATCTCATTTTCCATAAATGCAGCTCTGCAATGAAAGTTGACTTCAGCACGTCTCTACATGTCTCAAACAAACTTCCATATTTTTCAATCAAAATTTCTACGGCGGAATGGATGCCATCTTCATTTGAATTAATTAATATAACAGGAACACATATTTGCAGATTGAATGAATCCATAGTTTCTTGCTGGAAACGACACTCAATGTCGGAAATAATACTTTCAAGTAAAGGGATATATATCGTTATTCTGAAGTATTCTGTGGAGGAATGAATATCTGGATTAGGTCGATTTTTCATGAATTTATTCACTCTTGGAATGCATAAATCTATATTCAAATTTTCTAGACAAGGCATTATTTCTTTAAGCAAAGCATTGAAATTGGATTCTGCATTGTTGCGTTTGTCTTTCAAAACAAGCAGAGTATTTAGAACAGCATTCTGTGTGGAGCTTATATCCAAATTTTTTTTTTGCAATAATTTGCTTAGAGGTAACGTTATTGCGAGTACTTCATTCAGACAAAACCAAGTGATAATAAAGCTGCAATTTGATGAGATCGCAAGTATATGCGACTTAGCTTTACTGGAAGATTCTCTTTCATTCCATTCGGAAATCAAATTCAAAGCTTGCAAAATTTTTTCAATCGATGCTTTGAACTGCAGAACGGAGTCGTGTCGTTCTATCCATCGCGTTTCACACAATCCAGAGAGCTGATCACCCAATGTTTGTTTGAGGACATAATTGCGTTTAGAAGAGGCTTTGAAAAAAGATATTATTTCCTTAATTGCCCCTACAGCATTTCTCACACTCTGAACGTTTGATGATTTCGACAAACTCAAATTTAAAGCATGATTGAAACATGGACATCGTACAGCTATCTTCATTTTTTTCTGAGCTTCTTGGACTGCTCCTTGTTGTTTTGATGTCATCACACTGCAACCGTCTGTACAAATTCCTACACAATTTTCCAATGGTAAACCAAATCTCTGAACTTGTTTTATCACTGTTTTTCCCACATTTGGGAAACATGTGCAATGTCAGTGGTGTCGTCAAACATAATGCTGTAATATTCAGCATCACCAATTTTTTTCACGATAACAGACAAAATTTCGTCTTTACAACATTCGATCAACTCATTTTGCGTTCTTTTGCTAATATATGTGGCACGTGACGACGTGTTTCTTAAATGCTCTTCTAAAGTTTTGTCTCCTGCTTCGATTCTGAATCTAAGAAGCTCTCGGAAGTTTCCCTCATTATTTGTCACATTGCTTTCTTCTAACAATGGCCCGTCATCTCGATGGCCTCGGAAAGGTATACCTTGTTTGGCTAAGAAAATTATAGATCGAATGATTGGTATGAGCCGATTTCGATTATCCTCTATCTGCCTGGCTCGAGCACTATCTATCAAATTTCTTATATCTGAAGATCGGTTTTCGTAACATCTTATAAAATTATCGCTCGATAAAACCGCTTCGATATGATATCGATTTGAATTATGTTTATCTAGCACACCATCCATTCCAAATAATTTTGCAAATTTTGTAACTGGTGTGGTAACCAAACCTTGCAAACTTGTCGCTTTATTTTCACCACCTGAATTTGCAAAGATAGCACAGTGCTTACAAAAAAGTCCTTTCTTCAAGTCCGAAAACGCAATCCAGCTATATTTTTGGAGATAGTCGTATCTCAAGTACCGCTTAACTAATTTGTTATTTTTGTTATGTTTAGAAAATGGAAATGAGTAGTTTTTTTCCGGAACCCACGTATTTTTCAAATAATTATATTTTTGAAAGTCCAGCAAACCATTCAAACAATCAACAGCTCGACCAATGTCGTAGTTCCCAACTTCATTGGACTCTTCCGCAGCAACTTGCTTTGGAGAATTATCAGTAATAACTGATGTTTGTGATGTTGATTCTGTTGTACGTGATTCTGGAACTACAAATGTCTGTTGAGAAGATGATGATGAAGATGACCGGGATGACTCATCATCATCCACACCTTTCATTACTTTCTTTGGAACAACAGAAAAATACGAATTCAACGTATTCGTACTGTTTGTCCTCTTCATTTTCTGAAAAAAATAAAAAATGAACATTCGTGATCCCGGCGAAACGAGAGATGGATACGCCCAGGTCTTTTAATTTGAGCCTATTTTGTTCATTTGTTGTCACTTTACGGTTAGATCGGAATGTACTAACTTTGTAATTTCGAAATGACATCCTGAAATGAACACCTGCGGGCTGGGCGAGAGAGAATTGCATATTACCCCTTCCATTAGCAAATTGAAAATTATTCATAACATCTATGAATTTTCACTCACCTGTGAATCTGTCACCCTGGAATGAAATGATGAAGAAAAAATGGAAACGAAAACAGAACGTCCAAATTTCCACACAATACACAACGATATAACTTCTAACAACCTACAGCGAGCCAAGCGTACCCTTATGTTTCTATTAAAACAAAATCACTGGACGTCGCCTGTGCCGGGATTCGCGCGGGAGGCGTTGCATTTGCATTGGCGTAGCCAGAGTGAAGATGCAGATATGATTGATGATCATTATTGCAGAATGCAGATTGCAGTAGGTATTTCGATCTCCGTATATGAATCCGTTGAAATAATTAATTTACAAAGTAATCATTTAAAATATATCGATTTAGGCCATTTAAGGTGTTACCATAGTATCTAGTATCTTGTGTTACTGAACACTAGACCAGGCCGGTCGAACAGAATGTATCCTAAGTGCATTGCCACCTTTGGGGGGGGGGGCATGGCCCCCATGCCCCCCCCCTTTATGACCGCCCTTGGCCCACTACCTATTGACAATTTAATTGTCCAGAAATCATATATGAAACGATTTCTTTGGTAGGTCCATCCGCAGCTCACGCTGGTTGCCCACTACCGATCAAATATTCGTTGGTCAAGAAAGCGTATATGAAACGATTTCTTAAGGTAGGTCCACTCACAGCTCACGCTGGTTGCCCACTACCTTCGAGAATTTTTGTTAGTCAAGAAAACGTATATGAAACGATTTCTTAGGTAGGTCCACTCACAGCTCACGCTGGTTGCCCACTACCTTTGAGAATTTACGTTAGACGTGTACTGTACAAAAGCTCAGTAAAGAATAACCCCCTTTTCAGACACACGTCGTGGTTTTATAGTCCTTCGGTAAAAGATGAAGAATAGTGAATTACGTATGTGGAAGACTCTCCATACAAACCCCGCAACACGGTCTCACGATTCCCGAAGTTCCTTATCTTTATGGTTTTCGACGAATTTCGCTCTCAAGAGTCTATATCTTTTTGTTGTGTCATGTGTTACTTATCGCGAACTTAATTATACACAAATCCCAAACAAATGTTCGTTTCCCGTGAGAAACTTTGTGAAGTAATACGTTCGATTTTAAAAAATAGCATTCGTTTTGTGGATAGGAATTAGAACAAATTTAAGAAAAAGAATGGGCCAGGGGTCGTTCGATTTCACTCTCCCCCTCCTCTTTGTGAACGCAATCGAATTTTTGAGTTGAAAAAATTGTATTCGGCTTGCAAAGAGGAGAATGTCTCTCTGGTCACAGGTCAAAATTTCCCCACCTTCAAAAATACCAAAAGCCTGAACACAAAAAAATATATTGAAGAAAGAGATAAAAATTAAGCATCAAATAAATTATTCACCAAACATGAATTCTACGTATAAAAATGAAACATACAATAATATAATAGGGTGAATATATACATAGCTACATAGTCATGAATTTGGCAACAAAAAGCATACATTAGTTAATAGATCGGCACAATAATAGTCCTTTATCTCGCATTATCTCCCTCCCTCCGTTTCCCGCACTAACACATACCTTGGGTTCACATCCTCACTCGCGTTGACCTTTCCTCTGTTTCTGGAGGAAACGCCGTTGGCACCTTTTGCGCCGAACACGCTTGCGGCGTACCTTCGCTGCGAGCAGTGTCACGGCTCCTTTGTTTTCGGAGGCCAGAACGGCCGTCCGTGGCTCTGTCGGGTTGGCTACCTGCCCTGTAGACACCGTCTGGGCACAGGTCTGGGGTAGTGGATGAAGTTCGGTGAGCGGCGTCTCAGCATCCCGGTGGCCAGTGGATTCAACTGTCCATAACAATATTGGAAGGTGGACCGGTAACAGCGGTCGGTAAGGGTCGGGAACAGGACGCGGGGCAATTAATTCGGCGGTGATGGTCCTCTCAAGCCTTGTCTGGTAGAGAAGGGATTCGAAAAACTCTTCCAAACCGGCACCGGGCGTCGGAGGTCTCGTGTCGGTATCTGACATTTTCTTCTACTCAACTGTTGGACCGTTGGAAACAAACTGACTCCTGTTGACAAAAGTCAGATCGGATATCTTCCTGGTTGCCACTTGACTATCCTGGTGGAAGTCTGTCATCGGTAATGTATGGCAGTAAATTAGCTGTGTTAAATATGCCTCTAACCTTGCTCGTGTGTGTATCCACCAGGACATAGGCGTTTTCGTGGGGTTGAGAAGTGATGCGGTACGGGCCTTCGTATAGTAAGGAAAACTTACTAGCTACTCCTTCAGCGGCATTTTAATGCATTTGGGTCTTGAGTAAGACATAGCTACCCAAGGAGAAGGTAGTCGTTTTCCTCCGCTGCTGTTTTTGTCTCTTCAGCGACATTTTCACGAGATGTCGTCGGACTATTTCCAGGATATCCGGCTCGACGTCTCGGGACAGTGGAAGGTATTTAGCGATGGCGGCATCGAGTTGGAGTTTGGGTCGTTGTCCTAGTACAATTTCCATCGGGCTATACCCAGTACTAGAATTCGGGGTGGAATTCAGGCACTCTTCAATATCCCGTGTATAGATAGCCCAGGAACGATGTTTGTCGTGACAAAAAGTCCTGAACATCCGACCAATTTCCTTCATGTATCTTTCCGCTGGATTTGAACTGGCATGTCGAATAGAGGCAAATTTAACCTTGATGCCCGCCCCAGATAGTCGTTGTTTCCAAACCCTTGAAGTAAATTGGGTACCATGATCACTAAGTATTTGCTGTGGATTAAGTATAGGTACTAGGTCCAGCAATATCCGGTTAGCGGCGGAGACAGCATTGGCTTTCTTAACTGGGAACAGCTAAACATATTCCGAAAATACGTCTACCGCTAGCAGGATGTAGGTCAGCCTACCCCGACTTCGAGGTACCGGTCCATAATAGTCCACCGCTACTAATTCCCCAACTTTAGTAGCTAAAATGAGGCGGTCCCAACAGCGACCTATTCGGCTCCTTAGCTCGCTGACAAATTTCATTGGTGCGGATCTGTCGGTGTATCGTCCGATACATATTTTCCCAGTAAAAGTAGGCTTTGACGACAGGATATACTTTGGTAGTGGAAAATAGAGAAGAATAGTCGAGTAGAAGATCCCTTATTCTGCGCCCCTGTTCAGTACCGAGTGTGCTCTCCTTTATCGCTGTAGTTTTGAGGTCATTTTTGTCGGCTACAGCTGAGGGGACAGAGATTGTGAATATCTCGACATCTTCGGTCTCAAGTTCGGTAGGGCCATCTGTTTGGAACGTCTCGAACGGTACCTGGAATTTATCTGGGGACGTCGAATGTACAAAAAGGTTTTTATTATTGAATTCAAGTTGACCAATGGTTTTCTTGCACCCAATCGGCCCCAGTATACATTGTTTAATTAGGCCACTAACTATCAAACAACATATGTCGAAGGGTCGGCCGGCGAGTCCCATTCGGAGTTGCACTTGACGAGTAACTCTTTTGTTTTTCGTCCCAAACGCTCCTTGCAACAAGACGGCTCGAATCGGCAATGTGGGTACGAGATTCTGCTGTTTAATCTCCGGATATACAGGTCACCTCGCTTCCAGTGTCAAGGAGCGCGGTGACAGAGATATCTTGGATGATTAACGGAATTTCCGGGAGCAATCTTC